GGGTGGGGGGGATCGGGCACACGCCTGCTCTGTTGAGCTGCTAGGGGCCTCCAGCTGATGGCTGTTCTGTCCCAGGGCCTGGGCTCCAGAGCGAGGAGGAGGTGCAGAGCCCCTCCACCCACTGAGATGGACATGGAGCATGGCGAATACCAACTGTGTATTTTAAGCCACTGAGAGTTGGGAGGTGCTTCCCATTCTCGCTGGCACAGGTAGGTGTCATTATCCCCTTTCTCCAGATGATAAAACTGAGGCACTTAAGTAGCTTTTCCAAGGCTACATACAGGAGCCTGGTCTTGCACCTGTGCAGTTGGGCTCTGATGCCTGCACACTGAACCCCAACACCACAACCACAATGTCTCTCTAGTGAAACAAGCACCCCTCGTCGTGGAGAATCAGGGGCTCCCAAGTGTGTGTCTCCCCTGCTGAGTTTGCCTGAGCTGCTTGGAATTTTCTTTTGAGGACAGTCATCTAGACTCTTGTATTAATGTCCCAGGCTAATAAACAGAGCCTATTTATAGTCCGGAACAGAACCGATGGCTCTCCCCAGCATGGGGGACATTTATGAAGGAGCTGCCTCACTGCATCCACGTGGGCAGTTGGGGGACCGGAAAGGGCCGGCACATTGTAGGTGCTCACTAAAAACCGCGTGAATGAGTAAACAGATCGATGAATGCAGCAACACGTTTCGGCAAAAAGCATGCCAGTGCCCGGCAGGAAGGCTCAATGAGCACCTGCTGAACTGATAAATGAGGGAGTAAAGGAGCGGCTGGATGGCCAGACGACAGTGGACTAAGAATCAAGAGCTCCGTTCTGAACTAGGCTTACCAGGGGGATCACTCTCTAAGTCATATAAATGTCCAACCACCACGCCATACACCTGAAACTAACATAACATTGAATGTCAACTACAATTGAAAAAATTTTTTTAAATTGTTTTACATTTTAAAAAGAGCCCCATCATGCCATTAATTTGCTTTAGGGCCTGGAGCAAAGGAACCTGCCCTCTCTGGGCCTCCTCTGCAAAAGGAAGGGCCAGGTGCTCTCCAAGACCTCTCGCAGCTGGCTGGCCGGTGACCTGGGCTCCAGGTGCCTCTGTGTTCTGCCCTTTGGCCTCCCCTCCGCATTCCTCTCCCTGCTGTTGAAAACCGACGTTCTCTCTGGTATCTGGTCCAGCATCTCCAGGATTTTTGATTGCACACCCCCATTAGCAGAACACACGTGAGCCTGTGTCTCCAATACAATTAGTTTACGACGTGGTACTGTTAGACCATAAAAATACCACGTGCTCTGTAACTCACACACGCGCGCGCACACACACACATACACGTGGGAATTAAAAATGACGATGTTAAGAATACCAGTGAGCAGAGCTCCAGTGTCTTCTTCCTGCTCTGCAGTGGCCCATCGCACATGTTCTACTCTGCAGCCCACTGCTCTGGTCAACCAGCCCATCCAATCAATGAATCCAGGCTAAACTCCCTCCCCACCCAGGAAATATAACTGCATTTGAAAAGGAAACCTGGAGATGAACCTACTTTCCAAAAGGAACAGAGAGCTTGAGGCAACGTCAGCATGGGATGGGCGGGGAGGAGTGTTTGTGAGGAGTTGGGCGGAGTTGAGGGGGGAGAGAGCTGTCAGGAGACCCCCGAATTTGCACTAATCATGGTCACAGCGGCTCCCACTACTGAGTGCTGTGGACCTGCTCCTGTGAGGAACAACTCTGAGGGGTAGTAAAGAACCGAAATAAGACCTAGTATCAGGGCAGTGCTGGCTGGTATCTGTCTAGGTGAATGTCACTGTCCTCATACCAGAGAAGCACCTGAGGTTCAGAAAGGTGAACTGACCCCCTGCCTCAGCTTGTGTAGCTGGGTTTTGCTTTCACACCCAGATTCAGAGCTCGGGAGCAGAGGCTAGAACTCAGCTGTTTCTGTGACTGGGCAGCCCTCCACCCTGCTCCCCTCCCGTTGGGGCTCAAGTTCATGATGTGGCCCAGTGAATGGGCTGAGCCCAGGACCAGGGGAGCCTGGGCATCTAGGGAAAGCGGCTGGGTGCTTGCCCCAACCCACAGCCCCAGGTTTTACCTGGATCTTGTTGAAATCTTCCACAGCTGCACACAACGCCTTTCTGGTGGCCCTCTCCAGGTTCTGTAAATGCTTGGCTGTCTCATCAAACTGCAGCCTGGTCTTCGTGTAGAGGTCCTCTGCGGGAAAGCAAACACTGTCACACCTGTGTGCCCACCCAGGGCTCCCTCCAGGCGCACAGAGAGCCCGAGTGTCTGTTCACACAGCTGCTTCTTATCCTGACTTCATCCACAGAATGGGGTGCCTCAGGCTGCTGGGAGACCTGGATGAGTTAATTCAGGTAAAGCTCTCACATCTGTGCCAGGGGCTGAGTGTCAGCAATCGCTGCTGTGGGTCAGTGACGTCCGCTGTGGGTCAGTAATGTCTGCTGTGGTCCTGGGACCGGGAGCAGTGGCTCCTTGCCATCCATGACCTTTCAGGCCACTACATCCTTACAGTCAGGAAGGAATGATGGGAGCCCAGAAAACAGGGAGCTCTGCCACGGAACCAGATGGGGCTCCCCAGAGGAGGGGGCGTCAGGTAACATACCACGGAGTGGCAGTAGCACTCTGCCAAGGAGAGGAGAGGGGGAAGGGGTGAAAAGTTGAGCATCCAAACTGCACAACATAAAGACTTGGAGTCAGACAGCCTCCCAGTCCAGCCTAGATGCCTCCTAGCTTTATTACTCAACCTTTCTAAGCCTCTGCCCTCACCTGTGAGGCAGGACAACTACTACTTTGCAGGGTTGTTACACTAAAAAAAAAAAAGTCAGTAATCAGAAGGTTCTTCCTATGGTGTTTGTATCCGCAGGTCCCCCATCCATCCCCAAAAACAAAGGCCAATATACAGATGATGTCCTATAGAATCGTACACCTGAAACCTATATGCCTGAACTAATCAATGTTGCCCCAATAAATTCCACTTAAAAAGGAAAAAAAGACCCAACTCTTTAGTGGTGAATTCTGGCCTCTGCTCACCTTCAGCTTTGCCCCTCCCCTTGCATTGTTAGTCTGGTCATTGGTTTAACAGCTATCGAGAGCCTCAGGGGGGCCAGCCACACACTCTGCTAGGAACCCGGGACGGAACCGAGCATCCCGGAGATGAGCCAGGTAACAAACAACGTGGAAATAGACGCACTGCTGCAGGCTGGGCCCGTGCCTCAGAGGGAAAGGCAGCCAGAGGGGAAATGTGGGGAACACCTGACTTAGGCAGCTGGACGGTGAGGACCGAGAGCTTCCCTAGGAGGCAGTGACACTGAAGCCCAGTCCTGACGTGCTCACGAAGCTGGGTGGAGAGCAGGTGCAAAGGTCCGGAAGTGGGGAAGAACCAGTTGGGACCCAGAAGTGAAAGCAAGCCCGAGTGGCTGGGACACAGGGAGTGGGCTGAGGGGCACAAAGGGATATCGGAGGCTCGGGCAGTGGCCCCAGCATGCAGGCCTTGGAGGCTATGGGCAGACTCTGCATTTTATTCCGTATGTAACGAGAAGCCATTAGAGGGTTTAAGCTGGGGTAGAGGGAGTAGGAGTGACACTGTTCACCTTGACATTGTTTAGAAGGGAGCATTCTGAGTGCTATGTTGAGAATGGACCAGAGAGGGGCAAGAAAGAAAGGGGAAGACAACTGGAAAGCCCTTGGTGTGGCCCGTGCGGGTGAAAAAGGTGGGGGCTTGCTTCACAGTGGTGACAGTAGGGACGGGAGACGTGGACAGTCCGAAATATCTACAGGAGTTAAGAAGGGACAGGAGCTGAGGATGGCCTGGAGACCAGCCCTGAAGGACACACGAAGGAGGACCCCCAGGTTTCTGGCTTGACTAAGGGAAGGTGTCGCTGAGCGCGGGAGGAAGCTGGAGGGAGAAATGCAGGATTTGTTTCCAGGACATTGTGAGATGCCTGGTGAGATGCTGGCGAGGAGGGGGGAGGGGGGCAGTGCTCTCAGCCAGAGATGGAAAAGTAGAGCACCTGGGAGATGGGTGGGATTCTGAAAGCCCCATCAGTGATCACTTCAACAAATACTTACCTATGTGCGAAGAACTAAAGACAGCACAGTGAATAAGACACAGAATCTCCTGCCTTCATGGAGCTTAGGAGATGGTACGGGGAGGGATGGCAAATACGTAACCACATAGTACGTCACTGAGCAATGCTATGGGGGGAATGAAGCAAGGACAGGGAACGTGAGCCACGGAGGGGAAGGGTACAGGGCTGTGACTTGTAATAGTGGTCGGTGGAGGCCTTACTGGTAAGACAGAATTTTAGCAAAGACCTGAAGAAGGAGAGGGAACAACCATGCAAATATCTGGGGAAATGTGTTTCCAGGCAGAGGGAACTGTAGGTGCAAAGGCCCTGAGGCAGAAGTGAGCCTGACACACGTACATTCTAGGAACAGTGACGAAGTCAGGGTGGTGAGGATGGGATGAAGGAAGGACAGCATCGTAGGGGACAAGATCAGACTGAAAGCCTTGCTGGTCCTTGAAATAAATGTAGTTTTTACCGAGTGAAATGTAAAGCTATTGGAGGATTTTGAGCAAAGGAACCAGCTTCACTGGATCATTCTGTTTGCTGGGTTCAGAAGAGATGAGGTGAAAAGGGGACAAGGGCAGAAGCAGGGAGACCAGCAGAGGCTACTGCAATAATCCAGCTGAGAGAGCTGATAACTTAGTCCAGAGTGGTGATGGCAGAGGGAGTGAAAGGTACTTGAGATGTGGATGACTTCCTGTTGGACTGGATGTAGCATTTGAGAGAAAGAAAACAGTCAAGATGACTTGGGGCCAGGGCCTGGGCAACTACAAGAATGGAGTTCCCTTTGATGGCGGTGGAAGGCCAGGTGTGGGGGGATCACAGTGTCCTATTGGACTTGTCCTGACACAGGCTGGACCCATGTAGTTCCCTTGGTCTCCCCAGCAGACTGTAAACACCCTAAAGGCAGGGACTGGTTCTGAGTGATGGGCCTCCACCACCCACTGGAGCCCAGACAGGGTGCAAGCTCAGAAAGTGTTTCCTGCATGACTGACGTGTGACTGGAGATGTTTAAATCCTGGGACACAGGTTCTGACGTTCCTCTCCTCCCACAGCCAAAGCAGCACAGAAAGCATTGAAATCAACGCGTGTGTTTTGTTTCATTACCTGCACATCTTTGGTTGGCCCGAGCATCCTTCCATTCCCTTTGCTGCTGCAAGGACCATTCTCTGCTTTGCTCCTGTTGGAATCTCTTCCTCTCGTGGAAGTTTAAATCCTCTCCCATGAACCTCTGCATCCCCGACACTGTGTTCCGAACGTCGCTGTCTGACTGCCGGGCTGGAAGGTCTTTCCACAGGGCTAGGGGGTCAGAAAGGTCAAATTCTCGACGGGTTTCTGGCCTCTGAAAGCTCTGCTGGAAGTCGCTGATGGCTTGGCAGAGGTTTTTCCTGTCTCTTCTATTCCGGTTTTCTAAGATGCATGAGGTTTTGTCATTGTGCCTCATTTCAGCAGCTACAAGAGGCAGAGGTCCATAAGCTTAAGGTTCAGGGGGGAAAATAAATCTGATTCCATTTTAAAAAATAATTTTCAGTGATTCTAAAAGTAATACAACTCTCCAAAAAGGTAACATAACCATTAAAGAATCAGAATCCTAAATGTACAGAGCACACCTATAAATCAGTAAAAAAAAACACCAACCCAACCAAAAATGAGCAAAGAATAGAAACAGGCAAATAAACTTGACTAATCAATAAACTTGTGAAAAGATGGTCAACCTTACAAATGATTAGAAACATCCAATAAATTGGCAAAATATTTAAAATGCTAATAATAGCACATATTCAGATGTGGGGAAAGGAGATTCCTCACTCACTGTTTGTGGGAATGTAACTCAGTACACTTAGCACTTTGGAAAGCAATTTGCCAATATCCTATAAAACTGAAAACATGCATATCCTATGACCTCACAAGTTAACTTCTAGGTATCCCCCACTCATGTACACAGGGACACAATGCAGAGGTAGTCACTGCAGCATTGTTTGCAATTATTAAAAAAACAAACAAAAAAAACCCAAAAAAAACCCTGGGAAAATAAGAATCAGTCATCAGTGCAGAAACAGATAAAGAAACTCTGCTTAATTCATATAACAAATTATCAGAAAATAAATAAAATGAATATTCTATATGTAGATCATGGATTAAATTTAAAAATGCAACACTGAGCCCTGGATGGGTGACTCCACTGGCTGGAACATAATCCTGTACACCTAAAGGTTTGCTGGTTTCAGCTCCAGTAGGGGCACATACAGGAGGCAACTGATCAATGTTTCTCTCTCACATTGGCATTTCTCTCTCTCTCTCTGGAAAAAAAAAATCGATAAAAACATATCTTTGAGTAAGGATTTAAAAAATACATTTTTTAAAAAGTTGAAAAGGATCCATTCAATATTATACCATTTATGTAAAATTTTAAAACACACAAAAAACAATTTTAGACTGTCATGGATACATACATAAATGGTACACACACAAAAAGCTGGCCTGGGAATGGTTCACACCTCTGAAGAGGGAGGGAGGTGAAAATGGTAAGGGGGGGAATATACGTATATTTTCAAAAAGAATTCTTAAGTATACCTAAAGCCAATTTGGCAAAAAGTTAACATCTATCTAATCTAGGGGTGGGTCCGTACATATCTGTCACATCATTTTTGTAAGTTTGACTTATTTTTAAACTAAAAATATAAAAGGTAAAACATTTAGAAAACACAGAACAGGATAAAAAAGAAAATACACTTCACTCATAATTTAATCACGCCAACATTACCACCGCTAACATTTTGGCATATTTCCTTCCTTTTTATAAGCGTACCTATCATGTATTTTAAAACTTCACTGAAAACCCATTGTATAAAAAATTTGTACCCTGCTTTTTTCTATTTATTTTGAAACAGGAAAAAAATAACCAAATTTATTACAAATGTATATATAGGAGTTTTATAAGAATATGGCGCCCCCTGCTTTCTTCTATTATACAAATCCTTACTGTGCTTTAACAAAATAAGCTGAAATTGCTGCACATGATGTGGATTCTATTTGAAAAGTTTATCTAAAAGCTAGAGTACTATTATTTGAACCATGTCTAGTTCTCAGTCAGCTGGGGGGTGGGGGGTGAGCTGGGAGTTTGTGCATGTCATCTAGTGTGAAGAGAATGTTTGTGTTTAAGGTTCTTCATATCCAGTTTTGTGAGGGTTTTTTTTAGAAAACAGGAAAACATAAGTTTATCCTTAAAGTATATTTCTTAGAACTCACATAGAATTCAATAGCTGTTTTTCTTTTAACAGAGGAAGAATTGGGGCGTTGTTAATTGAGCACTAGGAATTGTGAAATTTTAAAAGGAGAAAGTAAAAACAACAAGCTCTTACATAGGTAAAGAAATAAGGACTGGAGTCTAAAGACACGCAGCCCTAGAGCCCTAGGTACGCATTTAGGAAATGCTTACCAAATGTTTCATGTCTGGCTTTTTCAGTTGCTTCTTTTATCTTCTGGTCACGAACCTGAATATCCCAGGCTTCTTTATCTCCCTGGAATAGAAAACGAGAGGAGATGAGTTAGAGCCAGATAATTTTATCCCGTTATTAACAATCCTACCTATCTATCCCTACCCCACTGTCAATGCACTCTTAGGTCCACACCATGTCTTTTCATACCTGAATGCCTTTGCTTATAGTTAGCTCTTCAACCTGTCCTCTTAACTTTCCACAGAGCTCCCTTCCCCCTTCCCTTAGTTAACAGATACTCATCTGCACAACACTGCTTAGGCATCACCTCCCCCGGGAAGCCCTCTCTGATGTCCTCCTCCAGCCTGTCTGTGCTCCCCTCCTTCACTACATTTTAATGTGCCCATTTCAATGTCTGCCTCCTGCACTGGGCCGTAAAACCCTGAAGGTCAAGAACTGCTTAATTCATCTCCTGGGACCAGCTCAGGCTTGTGAAATGGATGGACTGGAAGGAACCCCTGGCAGCATAGAAAGTCTGTCTCAGATAGAGAACCACCCCCATGTAGTCTCTCTTTGGCCACAAACTCCAGACCAACTCACGCCCGCTGCAAGACTCCATCAGCTTGTCTGGCAAGTGAAAGGGGGTATAATTGTTCTGTTAAGGTCTCTCTCATCCTCAGCAAAGTCAATATATCGAGCTAGTTCACCACCCCGCCCCCCGGAAACTCCTGGTGCCCTTTGCAGCTGTCCCTGGATCAAAAGTTTCATTCGAGGGGTTCATCTCCTCT